CCCCCACACGCACGCACGCGCGCGCGCACACACACACACACACACACACACACACACACCAGGCGGCGAGGAGTACCCGCCCGACTGCCGCTCCTACGACGAGTTCTTTGTGCCCTGCAAGGCCGGCCCCGAAGCCGCCCGCACCGTGTGCGGCCTCCAAGCCAACAAAGACGACGCGGGGGCCATCCAGGAGGTTGCGCGGTGCGCACAAGCGTTGCGCCCGCCGCGGGCTGCCCACCGCACGCCTTGTCGGCGGGCACGGGGTCGTCCAGGGGCGAAACGACCCACCCGAGGGGCTTGCAGTGGTGGTGGTCACAGATTGCTCAAGGAACAACCAGCTGCCTTACAAGCCGCGAGGGCTCGCTCAAAGGGTCGGCGCTCCCCCTAGACTCGGCCCCCTGCCCCCAGTGCAAGGCGCCGCTGCGTGCCTCTGCTCCGCAGCACGCAGGACGGGTGCATCGGGAGCACGTGCCTCGCCAGCGCCCGATGCACCACCACCGCCTCCGCAGCAGCAGCGGCGCCCAAACTCTGCCCGCCTCCCCGCTTGCGTCTTGCATCCCGACCGGGCTCCATGATACCCCCTCCGGGGCCCCCTCCACCTTCATGCTGCCATGCAGGTACTATGGCCTCTACTCCAATGTCACCAAGTGAGCTGAGTTGATATGTCGGGCTCGTTGCTCCTCAGCAGTTTTCGCAATATAGCCTTGTGCGCGCCCCAAAACTCAGCCCTCGGCCTGCCAGCCTGCCAGCATGCCTGCTTGCTTGCCTGCCTACGTGAGTGGTGCCTGCCTGCCTGCCTGGCCTTCCTGCTGGCGATCCCGCCAGCCGGCCTTGCTCTGACGACGGGCGCCGCCGCATGCGGCCCTCTGGTCCCGTGAGCCCGAGCCCGCGCCCATCATCGCAACTTGGCTCCTCATGCCGCTCAATCTCTTTGACCCTCTTCCTGCAACCTCGTCGTTGATCTCCCAAGGTATGGCCTCGCGTCCTTGGACATCCTGAACAATCAGAAGGCCCATGACAGCTTTGTGAAGCAGTTCAGCTGCTACAATAGTGAGCTGCCGCACGAAACTCGCGGCCCTGTGCCCGGCCCCCTGGCATGAGACCGGTTGACTGCCGCACTGTGCCCCTCTGGCAGCAAACCCTGATGGTCGCCGCCGGGACCCGCGCACGATTTCAACCCTCTTCGGTTTAGCCAACGGCAAGCCCTGCCTTGCTGGCAAAGCCACATGCATCCCTCGAACCTCTCACCCGTTCTGCTGACGTCACAATTATGTAGGGCTCATACGTCCCCATGCGCGCCCTCAGAACGGCGCCCTCACGCGCCGGGCTGGTGCCTGCAACCACGGACAGCAGCCCCCATCTCACCACCCACGCGCCCCGCCTGAATCAGCCCACCCTGCCACTATACCGTCACGTGTGTGTCAACACATTGTCACCATGACATACTGATGACATCATCATGGTGCCACCCACCCGCCCACCCCAGCCGGGGCCATCGCGGAGGTCAAGGTTCTCCCCGGCGGCGCCACCCAGCTCAGGAAGCTTCGCACCCTCGGCCGCATCAGCCATGAGTCAGCGTTAGTCATGCCCGACAACAAGACGGTGTACGGCACCGATGACCACCCCAACGGCGGTGAGCGCGCGCACAACGCCTGCCTGGGCACACTCTTTTTCTTACTGTGCATATGAGGACATACGTCCTGATATGCACCAGGCACGTGTGCATACACGAGCCTGTAGCTGTGCACGCAGAAGCAGCACGCAACCCGCCATCCAGCACGTCCACGGGCGCAAACCCCTTGCATGCCCGCGATTACTGCCCCATCGGCAGCCGCTCCAAAATCCCCATGTCTGCCCCTCCCCTCCCCCTCCCCTCCCACTCACCCACAACCCGACCCCCGCTCTCGCCACCGCTGCCGCCGCGGCCGCCGCCGCCGCCTCTTGCCGCAGTCTTGGTCAAGTTTGTCGCTGACAAGGCGGGTGACCTGTCGTCCGGCACGCTCTTCGCGGCAAAGTACACGGCGCAGCGCTTGGACAACGTCACCGGGAAGCCCACGTGGGACGTGAAGTGGATCCCCCTCGGCAAGGGTGCGCGAGCGGCAAATGCACCGCATGCCAGACACCCTCCATTCTCTGGAAGTCAGCCCTCGTGTCAAGGAAGCTGCAGCAGACGGACCTCTACCCCCGTTTCCTGCACATGAACCGCTCTTCTCTGCACACGCCGCCCGCCCCTCCGCTGCTCACATCGGCCCCCAGTTCTGCTTGGCTACCCAAACTATTTGCCTGCGTGTGCCCGCCTGTCAGCGACAAACGCGGAGTGGGCAACCGCCTGACGCAGTACCCCACGTGATGCGCCTCGGTCCCCCCCGCAGGCCAGCAAGACTCTCTGGACGGCCTTGCACGGGGCGGCCTCACGTTTGCCTCTATGTTTGACGTCGCCCAGCCGACCGGGTCACCCCTGAAGTGCCCGGCGGGTTACACCCCGACCAACCACGTGAATGACATATATGCCATTAAGAAAAATGGGACGGGTGACAAGTACTACATCGAGTGCCTCAGGGTGCGACATGTGTGTGTGGGTGCCTGGATGTGTATGTGCGCATGCATGTGTTGTTTGTGGGATGGCGCCGCTGCGCCGTGGGGGGCTCACATCGAGCAGCTGCAGCCCTGCGTCTGGCTGCGGTCACAACACAGTGCCCATGATCCGGCTTGTTTTGTCCATTGGTTTGCTGCGTATGCACCACCAATCACCAGGTCAAGAAGGGGATGGAGACGGCCGCCGCCTTTTTTGAGACGCGCCGCTACGCCTCCATGCTGGGCGCCACCACAGAGTTCGAAAAGCAGGTGCGGGCTCTCGCCGCCGCGGCGGCCTCACTCGGGCCCGCCGTCGCCTGGTCAGCCTCGCTGGCGTCGCAGGGGCTGTGTCGAAAACCCGGCCACATGGGGCACCGAGAATCACTCGTGCGAGGGGCATTCCATCGCTTTTGCGTTGATTGATTCCTGCCTAAGGTTGACACATGCATGAAGTCTATCGGCGCGTTTGGGCAGCACCTCAGTGGTTTGGGCGGGCCTTCCAGCTATGAAGTGCTCCCTCCCCCCAACCCACAGGTGCTGTGCGCGATTAGCGCCCACCCCACCCA